GTTTCAGCAAAACGTCTAGACGATGAACAGACGATGAAGCAGAAATGGGCTGTCCAATTCAGAGGGATTAGTCCCTGAAACCCATATGGATATGGAGACATTGTCAGATACGGAAAGCCTAATACGTGGAAGCAGAACAATGTCAGAGAGAGTGCCAGAAGGCAGACCCTTCAGGGAGGAAGGCATTCAAAGTCTGGTGGAAGACAAGCTGCCTAGAGCCCCCATAATGACCTGGAGGGAGTAACGCCTGTGGGAGTAAAGTCTTCAGTGTCTTCCTTTGCTGATGGGACACAACTCAAAATGAGAAGAAATAGCTGAAAGCACCAGTTAATAACTAGAACCTGGAATGTGCAAAGTGTGACTCTAAAAAAATTGTGAGTCATAAAAATGGTATGGAATGCATAAAGATCAGTACCCTAGGTGTCTCTATTAGAGATGTCTGACTAGAGAAACAAATCCAGTAGGTGTCTGACTAGAGAAATAAATCCAGTAACACTCATATATGTGTGAAAAGAGCTTTATATCAAGAAGCTTTCTAGTTCAGGGAAACATGCCAGGCCTGTCCAACTCAAGTCCGTAAGTCCCATACGAGTTCGTAAGTCTCTCTTCAGCCTCATGCAACCGCATGTAATGATGCAGAATGCAGGAAGACCACAGGCCGCCGGGTGCCAGGGCGTGTGGAGCCAATGATGCAGTTCAATATAGGGCTCTGGCAGGTCTCAGAGTGGCTCACCAACAGGAAGGTGAAGGCAGAGAAGGTGGGGGGTGGTTTCCCAGGCCCCTCCTTCTAAGAAGGCCACACCCACAAGGAGGTACCATCAGGTTGTGACCTGATTGACAGGTTGAACTCCACCCCTACCCTTTTATATAGCTTCAAGTTGACATGAAATTATGTCACTACCACAGTGTCTGTGAGTAGACATGGACCAGCACTGGTTATTTTGTTTCAGAAAGCAGATAGTTTAATATGCTGGGAATTTAAGATTCAAGTGAAATTCATTGTCAAAAAGGACATTTCAAGATCTAGCTTGAAGTACGATGCTGCCTGTGATAGGTTAATATCTATCCACATACAAGTAAATCCAGTTAATACAACTATTATTCAGGCTTATGCCGCAACCAGTAAATTTAATGATGCACAATAGAAGTATTCTATCGATTTCTTCAGTTTGAAATCAATCAAACATGCAATCAAGATGGATTGATAATTATTGGTGTTAGAATGCAAAAGTTGGAATAAGAGGAGGGAACAGTACTTAGAAAGTATGGTCTTGGTGATAGAAATGAAGCTGGAGATTACATGATGGAATTTGCAAGACCAATGACGTACTCATAGCAACACCACCAAAGGCAACTATACACATGGACTTCTCCAGATGGAGTACACAGAAATCAAATTGACTATATCCGCATAGTATCATCAGCTACAAGAAGGCCGAGGGTCAACTGTTCACATGTAATTTGAGGTTGAAGCTAAAAAAAATTAAAACAAGTTTATGAGAGTCAAAAATATGAACTTGAGTCCATCCCGCCAGAATTTTGGAAGCATCTCAAAAACAAATTTGCTGACTTGAATAGTAATTCCAGAAGACCTGAGGAGATGTGGGAGGACATCAAGAACATCATACTTGAAGAGATCAAAACTCATTAAAAAGGCAGGGAAGAAAGAAAAGATCAGAGTGGATGTCAAAAGAAGCTCTGAAACTGACCTTTCATCCTAGAGTAGCTATGGCAAGTGGAGGAAATGATGAATTCAAAGAGATGAACAGAAATATTTCAATAGGCAGCTTGATAAGACAAAGTCAAATGTTATAATGAATTGTGTAAAGACTTAGAGTTAGAAAATCAAGAAGGAAGAATATGCCCAGCATATATTAAAAGGAAATAACTCAAGAAAGAATTCAAGCATTGAGCTACAATATTGAAAGTTTCAATGGGCAAAATCTAGAAGGATGCAGGAAGCATCAAGAGAAGATGGGAAAAATACAGAGTCATTGTATCAAAAAGAACTACTCAGCATTCAACCCCTGCACCAGGTAGTAAATGAACAAGAATCAATTTTACTGAAGGAAAAAGTTCAAGCTGCACTGAAATCATTAGCCAAAAACAAGGCTCCAGAAATTGATGAAATGTTTCAACTAGTTAATGAAACACGGGAGGCACTCACTCATTTATGCTAGGAAATTTGGAAGTCAGCTACTTCATCAACTTATTGGAAGATATCTGTATTTGTACCCATTCCAAAGAAAAGTGACCCACCAGATTGTGAAAATTACAGAAAAATATCGATACTACATGCAATTAAACTTTGGCTGAAGATCATCCAACAATATTTGAACCCCTACATTGACAGAGAGCTGCCAGAAGTTCAGGCTGGGTTCAAAAAAGGACACGGAACACAGGACATGATTGCTGATGTGAAATGGGTCTTGGATTGAAGCAGAGAACACCAGAAGGATGTTTACTTGGGTTTTATTGACTATGCCAAGGCATTCGACTGTGTGCACCATAAAAAACTATGGATAATCGTGAGAGGAATGTGGATCCCAGAACCCTCCATCTTGCTCGTGAGGAACTTGTACATGGATCAAGAGGCAGTTGTGCCAACAGAACAAGGGATACTGCTTGGTTTAAGACCAGAAAAGGTGTGCGACAGGGTTGCATTTTTTCACTATGTTTATTCAATCTGTGTGCTGAGAAAATCGTCAAAGCAGCTGGCACCCAACAACAACAACATGGCCTGAATAACTGCTTGGCTCCTAGCAGGTCTGGTCACGGAGTTCATTACATTATGATAGTTCCCATTAGGGGAGGAGGCCTCAGCTGCCAACCACTGAGAATGGTGCCCAGACAAACAGACACAATCTTGTTTCTGCGTATTCTTTTTTTTTCGAGGGGAGAGCGCCAAGGCGGTCCCCCAGTACCACAAATTATGCAGTCGAGTTCCCCACATCTGGGGAAATCACAGGGGTCAGCACAGCCGGGGTGCCACGGAGAAGCCTCGCCCTGGGAAAAGCACCTTTGTGATCATGGTAGCTCCCCTGCCAGGTAAGTATGTCTGCATATTCTTCCAGTATCTACTTTTTCTTGTTGGCTTTCTCTACCCCAAAATACTGGCTATTTTACTTGGAAAGACCTTAGAAAAGGGCTTTTCCCAGAGCCTGTGATAGATCATTTTACGTGTGAATTTGGTTAGCCCATGGTACCCAATTGTTTGGTAAAGCACTAGTGTAATTGCTGTTAAAAAGCCATTACTGTGTTAGCAGCCATTGAGTCAACCCTAGCTCATGGCAACTCTACCCACACTGCCTGGTGCGGGCCATCTCCATGATCAGTAATTGGTTGGGCCTTTGCGATCTATTGATTTTTCACTGGCTAATGTGTGCGATTCTATCATATCATCAGACCTTTATTCCTAGCCCGACTTAATCGAGCAGCTCTACTGAAACCTGTTGAGTCGTAACATGAGGCAGCACGAACTGATCAAGGTCATTCACACGAAGAATGCTACCACAGAACTGCCAACATGCTGGACGCCTGGAAGCTGATTCAGGCCATGGGTGTCAGAGGAGAACTGTGTTCCACAGGGTTTTCAGTGTGTGAATTTCCAGAAGTACTGCTAGGACATTTTCTGGGGAACCTGCATGAGGCCTTGAACCTTCACAATTTCAGTTAGCGGCAGGTCAATTGAGCGGTCTACGCAGCTCAAGGACTTCATAAAACGGTTGTGTGTGATGAAAGCAGTTTTCCTCAAGCAAAACATCTTCCTCGCCTCACATGGATATGCTTCGATCAATTAACTGACGCCTTTAAGAGCCTTTGGGGCGTTTCCGTAGGGTACATGGTGCCTCCAGACTGTGAGCTGGCATTTGTTGAAGCACTCTTACTTCTCACCCTTCTTACCACTTGCCCTGCAGATGATGAAACACGAGCCACCAGGACTCTCCAGCCTGTCTCCTGACTTTTGGAGGCAATCGCATGAAATAAATCCACCTCTCTCTGTAGGTGTGTGTGTACACAAGTGTTTAGCTACTCGTATATATAGAACAATAACAGATATATATATATAACCATAACCATATATTACATCATGTAACAATCATTTATTTTTTGTTACTGTTAAATATGGTTGAGTCTGTTCCGCCTTATAGCAACTCTCTGTACATCAGAACAAAACCTCGCCCAGTCCTGCACCACCCTCACCCTCGTTTCTACGTTTGATCCCATTGTTGCCGCCACTGTGCCAATCCATCTCATCCAGTGTCTTCCTCTTTGCCACTGGCCCTCCACTTTATCAAGCACGGCATCCATTCTCTAGGGGCCAGTCAGCCTAGTGATGGCATATTTAAAGTGCGTATGAGAAGTCTCCCCATCCTGGCTCCTAAGGAGTATTCTCGCTGTACATCCAGCACATTAATTGTTTGTTCTTTTGGCAGTGTATGGTGTATTGACTATTCTTCCCCAGCATCATAAGATAAAGGTATTAATTCCTTTTCAATATTTTTATTCATTGTCCATTTCCCCCATGCATATTAAATAACTGAAATGATCATCACTGGGGTCAGGTGTACCTTAGTCTTCAAGTGACATCTCTTTCTTTCTTTCTTTTTATCCCTTTTAGCATTTTCAAGCATTTCACCCAATGCACGTACTTCCTTTGGTTTCCTGATGGCTGATTACATGGGCATATAAATTCCCCGCTGTCTGTATGTACAAGGGGGTTTCAAAAAGTTTGTGGAGAAATTCTATTATTTTTGAGTTCCATTTTCCATGAATTTATTAAAGCCCCTATGTATATGTGGACATATCATTAGTTCTCTTTCCTTATAGAATCCTAAAGCAGGGCCTTTGTACTTGTTCTATCAGTTTAGAATGACATTCCTACCTATCACTGGGGTGTTTTCTTTTTAATTTTCTTAGGGTCATAAGTGAAAAGTGTATCCCACAGAGGTATCTATGTTAGT